ATCTCTCCATCCTCCTCCATTCTGAAAAGAAATAAAATTTGAAGAAAGAATAAAAACTTGTGTCCCCCAAAAACAATGTAAAACACCAGAAGAACCAAACATTACCAATATTGACATTTTTATTATTTGTACAATTGAGACTTTAGTACATTATTCAAAACACTTCTTATATATTGAAAAAATGGTACGTCCCGAAGCCCAAAATGGCTCCAGTATAATCGCTGCACAGCATTTTTTCTATTTTATACATATATTTTTTTGTTGTTGTAAAAACTGTATCTTAAATAGTATGTACAGGTAGTGTCTGCAAAATGCATTCTAAACACATGATATATATTATATATATACTTCAGCAATTGCATTTCTTCGCATTGATACTCAAACTTAAAACTGGAAGGATTTTCAACTTGCATGTGCAAATAAATAAAGAAATAAATAGTTCTGTAAGATCGTCACTAAAATTTGTCCAACTCATAACTTGACAGGGTTTCTCTCCTTGGAGGTCAAAGTACATTTTTGTCACACTACAGAAGAAGAAGCAGCATTCAAGTTGGGTACGTGTTAAGTACTGCAGAAAGCATGAGTACATTCACAATCAATATGAGTAATTTTAAATTATATTTCATTCACAGTTTATATACAGTGAAACCGTCCTCATTTGTTCATCTCTTATATCATCTAAACACATAGAAAATGGGTGTTTTTTATATTCATATACATATATATAATATGCATTTGTATAACACAAATTCACAATTACAGTAGAAATACATTTTTGTACAAGTTTTGGATAGTACTTGTGTAGGTCTTCAAGTCACACTGTGCGTACTTCGATCCATATCTTTGATACAAGTGTCTTTACAAAATATCACAAGTTTTGAGCAAAGCTAAGGTATATCAATATATTTAGAAAGAATTACCTGAAACATAGAGTAAAAAATAATTTAATTATCAAACATTTGTCTCTGTTCACGTCATAATAACTTCTGATATTTCAAACTCTAAATAGGGTTCAATCTCTCAAACCACAATATTTAAACTGTGCCGTGTTGTGTCTATATGAAAGTGTGACTGACACATAATGGGCACAGCAAAGTGAAAGATGCTATCATATGACAAAATGTAAACATAAAATAAAACTTTTATTTTTTAAGGTTGTTACTTTTGTCATATCAATACAACTCTGTCAATCAATCTTTGGCCAAAAACATCCCAAAAACAGAGAATTATGAGTTGTTGTTTTCTCTTCCTTTAAACTTAATTTTCCCACTTATGGCTACAAATATTCCAGGGAAAGTTGAAGTTTACTGTGCATTGAAAGTATCCACACTACTTTGTACTTGTCCACAGTTGCCATTACAACCACAGCTTTTGCGTTATTCAGAAAGTAGTGAATAATTATGAAATAATGGAGTTGTTTGGATCTGGCCTAGTCAAAATATGGAGCAAATAATGTGTGGAAAGACATAATTAAGAGGCTCCTTCAACATTCCATCCTGTTTGACTGAGCGTAAGCTATTTTGAAAAGAACAGCTAAAAAAGAGCAAAATCGGTTTATAGATGTCTAAATGGGTAGATATATCTTGAAAGATTTTAAAGTTTTCATTGAGTGAAAAGTGAGTTTTTACTATGTTGAAAACAACATGGTTCATTGTATCAAAGCCTTTTAAAATACAATGAAGATTGTGGTTGTAACATAAAATGTGGAAAAGTTGAAAGGGTACAAATACTTTTTTCAAGGCACTGTAACAACAAACGCTTTGAGACATAAATCTATGGAAGAGGATTAGGGCTGGAGGAAAAAAGAAAAAGAATTGCAACTTTTTTCTCAGAGTTCTGACTTATTTCTTTCTGAATTTCAGACTTTTTTACCACCAGAATTCTAACTTTTGATCTCAAAAAATTAAGATGAGTTTAAAATCTGAACTCTGAAAAAAAAAAAAAAAACAGAATTCTGAGGACAAAAAACTAAGTTTTAAATCAGTAATGACAGAAAAAAGTCAGACTTCTGAGAAAAAAAGTCAAAATTCCAAGGAAAAAAGACAAAAAAAACCCTGAGTTTTAAATCAGTAATGAGAGAGAAAATGTCATAAATCTGAGAGAAAAAAAAGTCAGACTTCTGAGAAAAAAGTTGGAATTCTGAGAGGGAAAAATATCAGAATTATGAGGGGAAAAAATTGGAATTCTAAGAGGAAAAAAAACAATCAGAATTATGAGAAAAAAAAGTCAGAATTCCAAGGAAAAAAGACAGAAATCTGGGTTTCAAATCAGTAATGAGAGAGAAAAGTCAGAATTCCAAGAAAAAAAGTCAGACTTCTGACAAAAAGTTGGAATTCTGAGAGGAAAAAAAAAATCTGAAATCTGAGAATAAAAGTCAAAATTCCGAGAAAAAAGTTCAAATTCTGAGTTTAATATCAGAATTCTGAGATTAAAGTCAGAGTTTTGATACTAAGATTATTTTCTTTAAATGGCAATAACCCTCTTCCATATAGATCTGATCATTAATCAGTGCCAATTTTTCCCATTAGTACAACACTGTTAATCAATGACCCCAGATTTCAGTTCAAGTCTCATCCAAGCCATGACAAAGCAAATCTGACATTTTGAACCAGAGTGAGCCAAACAGGTCTATGGGAAAGCATCAGCGTATTCAAATGTCTGGTCTTTCAAGTCTGATTTACATGGAAAAAAGTCCGGCTATTGTACAAGTCAAACATTTGAAAAAAGAACAATCTGGACATGGAAGAAAACTGGACTTTCAAACAATGGCACAGTTGTTATCACTGGTGATAAATCAAGGAGTAGGAATTAGTTTTCTCTGATACAAATTGGGTGCCATAATGCAGCAGTGCACAGGGCGTGCAAATGCAGTGTGGGAGTGCGGGGGCACAGGGCTCTTTTTGTGTTTCCCTATTAGTTCAAGTGAATGGCAGTGTGGGTGTAAACATTAGCATGACTTGTACAGTAGATGGCACTAGAGGACAAGGTTGGCTCAGCTGCAAATAGCTGCAGAAATATTGCTTTCGCTCTTTTCAACACAGCTGTGCAAGCGAAACTTTTCAAACCTAAAAACTATCAGCAATGATGTTCTATGAAAAGGGTTTTCTTTACAGGAAAAACAGTGGTGTACTTTAGAAAAAAAAAAGAAATCTATTCAGAGAAATGACTCCTGTAAAATTGCAGAAAATAAAAAAAAATCTGAATATAGTTTATTAACAGTTATATTAATCATAAACCTTTAGAGCTTTCAGTCTGGGCCCAACTGAGAGTGCAGCTCAGAAAAGCCAAATCTTTATATATGTACAAAAAGGCAGAAAGTTATCTGTACACTGGAGGCAAAAAACAAAGACAAAAAAACTAAATGATAAATTAAATAAACAAATGCGAATGATGGGCGAGGCTTAAGAAAGAAGCTTTATAAAAAACAGAACTAATGACAAGGCAATGAACAAGATGCTACACATTCATTTAAAGCTGCAGTATGTAACTTTTAGTAAAAAATATATATTTTTAAATATTTGCTAAAACTGCCACCATACTGTGAGAGTTTGTTATGAAACAGATAATCTGTGAAAGAAAATCGATCTTTTCCCTCTGATCCGGAGCTATAATTGCTGTCTGAAGAAATGTACCGCTTCCAGCCAAAAATAACCATTCAGAACCAGGAGGCAGGTCTTAGCGCTGTCAATCACCTTCATGGTCATGCTGCTAAATGTGGTAACGGTGGAGAAACAACTTGCTGTTACAAGAAAAACATTTATCCGCCATGCTAACTAGCTTTAGCTGCAGCTTGCTCTGTGGTAGTACTGCCAATCAGATGGAGGGTGATCAGAGTTGGGTAGTAACGAGTTACACTTACTTGAGAAAAAAAGGTAGTTTCAGACATTGTACTTCTTACTTTTACTTGAGTAAATTTATTACAAAGTATCACTACGCTTACTTGAGGAAAATGTCTGGATTTTCTACCCACTCAATGAAAAATGAACATGTTTTAATAAAAACAGTCACCAGACACAGACACACACATGCAGTTTTTGTTAAAGTTTCATAAGTTTTTTATTCAAAAGAACTGATTTGGAAATTTTTTTGTTTTGCCTGATTTTGTTATTTTTTATTACATATATGAATTTTTGTAATTTTGTCCTTAAATTAGCTAAATTTCTATTTAACTTTATATTTTGTCCCTTCTGATTATGTCATTTTAAAATATGAAATAATTGATCATTTGATCAGTTACTCAGTACTTTTTACCTAATACTTTTTTTTACTCTTACTTGATGGCTACCTTTTCTTTTACATGAGTGAAAATATGTTGAAGTAGTACTAGTTCCACTTGAGTTTAATATTTGGGTTCTATGCCCATCTCCGAGAGTGACTGACAGCACTAAGATCCGCCTCCTGGCTCTGATTGGTTGTTTCTAGTTAGCATTGGGAGAGGTCATTTTTTTCCCCCACAGTTTATCTGTTTTGCACCAAAATGTCATGAAATAGTGACAGTTTCAATAAATATGTAAAAAGTAAAAAAGTTACATACTGGAGTTAACCAAAAAAGAAAAAAAGTGAAGGAAAGAAAAAAAATCCTCCAATAAAAAATAACTAAAATCTGATTGGCTGATGGAAAAACTGCCTCATTCGAAAACAACCACAATATCCAAACTGCAGCAGCCCTGAAGGAACTGAAAAGTGTTGCATCCTTTCATGGTCCGTCTGTCCGTCAATCAGGTCGCTGACCTCTGGTAGACAGAAGAGAAGAGATGTTTCCCATGGTACTTTTGGCACTAGTATTTGCCTTTGGTCCAGCAATAGGCAAATAGATGTCTGTGTGTTCCTTTAAAAAGGTTACAAAAACCAAGAAGAAGAAGAAGAAAAAAAAAAGACGGCTCATATGTCAGTTCCACAAGCCTCCAGCAGAGGGCAGGTGGGGTAGAGTTGAATGGAGATGAGTAGAGATGGGAAGTGGGTTTGTTTGTTATAAAACTATTTCTATCGCGTGCTGCCGTCTCTCAGAACCACCAAGTGCACGGTCCGAGGGAAACTCTTCAGCAGAGAGACGGCTGTCTCGTGCTCCATGTGTAAAAAACTATGTCCGTTAGCCTGCAAGGCAAACACGCAGCACAGTCAACAGCAATGTGTGTGTGTGCACATGTGTGTATAGAGGTATGTGTTCTGCAGATTTTCCATACACATGTCAATGTGTGAGTGTTTTGTGGGAGGATGGAGGGTCACTGCCATCATTATCTCAGTAACACATCACTGTTGGGGGAAAAGAGAGAGAAGAGGAGGAGCTACACAGTCATGCTGTAGAAAGAGAAGGGGTAAAGACAAAAAAGGGTTTTCAGATGAGTTCATCCAGCTAAACTGTACAACTTTAGGAGTGAAGATGATAGACAACAGAGAGGAGGCGGGGGAAACATAGATGACACTGATTTCTTATCTTGACTGATCTGTTAATGTTCAAAAACCGAAAGATTGAAGTTTTAGCTGTCCTTATGTGTGCTTTGGGATCCAGTTTAAACGATTGCATTGAGCTACGTTACTGTTTCAGGCTGAGAATCACATTTAACAAACAATCACAGACCAGCGAACCTTAAATTGCCCCGTGATAACACAACATCAAAATTTAAATGTCAACATCATTTTAATTTTGGGCCAAATCAAAATCATGAATGTTCTTAAAGGGCCGGTTGTCCCAGAATGTATTAATAAAACCCACAAACAAAACTGTTAAAATATAAATCAATTTTTAAATTAAATAATATTGAAAATCTTTTCAGTCTTTCTAGGATTTTGCAAGTATTTTTATGATTTTTTGCAATAAAAATCAAAGTGTTTGTGTTATTAATTTAGAAATATTTGTATTTATGTTTGACAGTAAATGCAGCTTTTTATTACTTGCAATATAATTATAGATTATAACTTGACATTAAGTGAGGCTGAAGCAGCTGTTTAGTAGAAGTAAGAAACACTGTAAACAATCACTTAGATCCAAAATTCTGCAATAAAACTTACATTTATGTATTAGCACAAAAAGTGCAGGGATTTGTTGACTTTGTGTGAATTTCCACAGTAATTCACAAGAAACAGAAGGGACTGATTGATGTAATTTGACAGTAAACAGATAAAAACTGCTTTGATTTGATTGATAAAATAATATGTAAGTACGCTGTTATCCTGTTCTATGAATGTCACTTCAGAGTCTAGAGGGCCACATAAAAAGCTTTGGTGGGCCGGATTTGCATTATGAGGAAGCAAAGTCGTAAAAAACAAAGAACAGTTCTCACCAACTGAAACTCGTTCAAAAGAACTGAATCGTTCGTGAACGACTCATGAAAACTCTCAGCAGTGATGACTTGGTTTCTTCCGATCATTACTTTACATGCAGTACCTGGCACACCCACCAGGGGCGGACCACAGTTTGAGAAACACTGAGCTACAACTGTATGAGTTCTTCTGTAGAAAATGAAAGTATTAAAGTATTAGGATAAAATGAAAATCTATAAGAGTTTCATATCAGTCGATATTGATCATTATTGATTAGCTTTTTGTTTTTAATGTATGAAATGCTGCCAAACTGGTGGTGTGAATATTGTTTTTCTTTATTTTTAAGCAGTTATGAGGCGTGGTGGGGAAACAGTTACTCAAAAGGTTGTTGCTAGGTAACCAAAGAGTGAGTGAGTTGCTAGGTAACCAAAGAGTGAGAGAGTGAGTTGATTCCACTACCCTTTGCTCAGCTAGCTGTGAGAGCAGCTACATCCCCCAGAATGCTGTGCAGTTCTGGATCAGAGTTCAATGAAATTATTGAGTATTCTACCAGATTTATTAGCTATTGATACTGATCATGTGCTTATCTGCATATATATTGTTATTGATTAATTGCTTGTTTACCTAAATTGCAAACAGACATGTGCTGGTTACCAGCATTGACTTCTACACTGCAAAAACACAAAACCTTACCAAGTATTTTTGGTCCAGTTGTTAGAAAAAATATCTTAGTAAGCTTGAAATACGACAAAACTAACTTACAAGTAAGTTTTCAGCAATATATAGGAGCTTGTTTTAGGACAATAATTCCTTAAAATTAGGAAAGAAGTGGATTAATTATGTTATAACAAGACAGTTTTGCCGTGTTATAAGTGAAATAATTTAAACAACAGAACTACATGACTCATTATGAAGATCAGAAGGAGATTTTTATTCCTATTTCTCGACAATTCCTACAAGTTAGGAATGTAATATTACATTATATTATGGTCTATAACTTATATTAAACATGGAGTTTGTAGTTAATATGTTATAGGTCTCTTATTAAAGAATATAGCTCTAATATTTAAGCTTTTAAAACTAATGATGAAAACAAAAATGAAACAGTCGGGGGGAGAAAGTTCATGCCAGATATCTGTATGGTCATGATACCGAGGCAGAATATAAAGCAGAATCAAATGTGGATCTTTTACATTGTAAATCCTCATATTTAATGCAGCTACAGTGCCTATAAAAACCTCTTAGATGTTTTACCTTTTTTTAAATTACTTTCACAAATCAATCATGATCAACAAAGTTTTGCTTTTTTGAGAAAAGAAAAATTACCAAACATTTTTGGTAAAAGATGATTCTTTTACTTGCCATCCATAGCCGTGTCGCCGCGATAGAGCAACTCCGTTAACAAAAAGAAACCTGGAGACTCAAAACCACTCGCATTTTTCTGTTTTCTTACTCTCTATGCAGAGATCCGTTGCCATAGTAACTGAGTGACAACAGCTTCACTAAGGTATCAGGTTTCAACACAAAAAAACATGCAAATATTTCCCACGTATATAAATATTTGGGAAACATTTCTGTGTGGGAAATGTATTTTTGTTTGCAAAAAAAAATAAAATAAAATAAGATTGCGAACAAAAATGTGTTTTTGTCTGAGAGAAAAACATTAATAACTGCTAAATAATGTGTTTATTCTGTGATTATTAAGCGATTGTACAAACACTGTGGTGGTTGATAAGTTAATTTAAAACCTGCTCTACTGATTATTTGTCAGAGTGTGTTGCCATTTTTTTAAACCAAAACATGAAATTCCACAGCACGTCTACACATTGAGATTGTCATAGTTAAGCTAGCATAGCTGACCAACTTCTGTCAGCTATTTTTTTTAATTAAAACGTTTTCCTGACCTTGTCATCTAAGTGTTGACAATTTCATATATCACGTATACATTTAAGATTTAGCTCATTTTAGCCAAAACCGATGGTCGTTATCGTTGGCTAGCAGTTTTGCAACGTGACTATAGGCACTGCATGTTGCTACTAAGATGAGATTTCATCCCATCTTTGAATGGAAAACTGTGCGCTATGTCCTGCTGAATATGCTGCCTCATTATTTGAAAAGGTCGGATGTTGCTGACTGCAGCCTGACGTTATGATGAGTGGGAGGACGTTACCTGCAGTATCTTGTCTCCGGGCTTCAGTGAGGAGGCGGCGGGCCCGTCATGCTGTACCCTAGTAACAAAGATACCCTATAAGTCAAAATGATACACCGTTAGGACAACACAGGGACACGATGGTTTAGAATCTTTGCCTTTCTCATGCTTATCTCAATATCCAACCCAACCCCAAACACAAAACGAAGATTTAAACAAATCAGATTTCTCCCTCAAAGGAATGAAAATACTGCAAAAGCACTACTAAAGATTGTTTATGATAATGCTGCTTTTTTATTTGAGAAACTGCTTTAGCATTTTTCAAAGAAAATTGTTTTTATTGGCTAGAGCTAAAAATGTAGTAAAGTAAACAAAGAGCAAATAATTCAAGAATATGGGAAGAAAAATAAGTGTGGGTTTGGAAATAAGTAGATATCAGCAATCATCCCCCCAATGTTTGTTCCTTTTCTCTCAATTACCCAAGGCAGAGATTGTAAAAACACCAACATCTTTTCACCCAGAGCTGAAAGATGTTTTCGAACACAGAGGAGTCAGACAATGCAGCTGCAGAAACTCCACACGGTTCAACAGGCGGCTTACATGTTGAACACAGATAAATGTGCCGTTAAGGAGGGACACGAGAGAACCGGAGACATAAAGAAATGATGCAGTAGAGACGGTGCAGCACCATCCAGGACACTACAGTGAGTGAGTCGACACAGCAAGAGACACAAATAGGTGTTAAGTTGCAACATGTGGCAACACTGGCAATCATACAGTGAGCCTCATACAGATGGTAAAATACTCCAATTATCCCACAACAAACTTGGTTGGTTTGCCATGCAGACTCTTGAAAAGACAATGATTTCACTGACATTTGCTTGGAGTGAATTAGTCTTTGATTGGATAAAGCTCACTGTATATTTTAAGGAAATATGCCTTCAGCTGATATTAGTAACAGTGTAAAACAGTTGCACACAGAGCTGAAAAACACAACAACGTAAGGTATCGTTAAAATGGTCTTAATCTGGAAAACGGGGAAATATTTTCCACAGACTGATGAGATTTTAGCAGCTAAATCAGAGTTAGCTTAGTGTGCAACAGTGATATAAGGAAAGGGGAAAAAAGTGGAGTTTTAAAGGACAACGTCCCCAGTGGAGGGCATTTCTGGTAAAAGAACCATCATTAGTTTGAAATAAATTCATCTTTCATCACAGAAAAACACAACCGTTTAATTGGACGACATTTTAGCAAAAGATTTTAAAAAATTACATAAATTTTTTTTTGTTGCAAAAACGTAGAATGAAAGATTCATAAAAATGAGAACAAAGACTATTATATCTGTAATTCCAGTCTGTTTTAGGTAATTAGTGCCACCAAACACCAGGAGAGGAGAGAGGAAATGGGAGAGCCTAATAATAAGATCCCAGAGTGTATTTTTTTAAAGTTATCCTTTATATATTTATGCTTTGTTCTGGGATGTACTTTTATTTATTTATCTGTTTGCTTTCTATTTTCTCCCTCTTTTTTACTCTTCTACCCAAAATATCTGTGACGTTGGGATAATCTAACCGTATAGAAAAGAGAATAGAAATAATAATGCAAAAAGAAAATAATTGAAAAAAGTATCTCCTGTTAAACTATTTCATTGTTTCTGTTGCGACACCAGCTGCTTATGTTCCGTGTTTTGTTTTTGTTTCGAATGTTTCCATTTTAATGTAAACTTCCTTGTTTGTTATTCATTCTATGTTCTGGTTCATTGTTTTGTAGAACAATACCTCTTTTTGGTTTTTGTCAGTCTGTAATGTTTGTTGTATATACAAAAATTAAAAGAAAAGATAGTTTTATATTATAGTTACAGTTTTTGTTTTCACTTGTTTCAGGTTTTCATTTTGTTAGTTTTACCTTTCAGAGGAGAGCCTTACATAATACATATAGAGGAGAAGAAAGACAAGCAGGAAGGAAACAGTTTCTTCTGAAAAGCGAACAGATCAAAGATCCAGTCAATATGAGGCAACGTTTCTTCTTACTGCACTCTAATTAACCAGAACTGAAACGGACCCGGAGGTGCAGAGAGCCGCTACGTTTTTTAAGGTCAATCCTGCAGGATTACTGTTGCTGCTCTTCAGACACCGAATAATGACTTCTGCAGGCGCCATCAATGGACCAAACCCGACTCAGAGCAGGAAGAGAATACACTGCTGCGACTTGAACTTAATTAGGCGTCACTTTTTAGTTCTTCACTTCAATACAAATTAAAGTTCCTATTTATTATCAGGCGACTTTTATTGAAAACGTTACATTTATGCCTTGCATTGTACAGTATGTCCAATGTCAAGGATGTCAATCTGCAATTTGAACCACATCTAGATCTCAAAGAACGTATTGATAAAAACCTTTAGCAAACTGTTTTAACGCTAATAAGCAGCTGTTTGCACATTAAATGAGTTCTGCTCTACATATCTCTTCACACTGATGCGTCCCTCTTTAATGATTGTTTTCTGGAGATATATTAAACATTTTTGTGCTTTTGTATGGCAGTAAATGTGATTTCTTTGCTACAGCTGAGGCAGGTGGGAGTTAGCTAGCCGGATGTTGTTGACCATTCTTTGTGGAAAATTTGCAATAAACTCATGATTATGCATTAGCACGAAACATGTTGATTCTGTGTGAAATTGCAAAAACTGGAGGGACTGACTGTTTGGCAGCAAACAAAAAAACTGCTTGATAAAATAATATTTAAGCACCTTAGGTTTGATTTCTGCACCTCTCTGGAGTCCAGAGGGCCACATAAGAAGCTGTGTGCCCAGATTTGGCCCCAGAACCTTCAGTTTGACACACCATGTTGAGCTAATTCATTCCAAAATAATGCAAAAAGCAAGTTGAACACTAGAGGGCGCTACCGCACTAAGGATTAGTGTCACTGTATGTCTTTAGCTCTGGTAATCAAAGCACTGATGTGCAATTTTGTGAATTTAAAAGCCTAAACCTGGTATCGTTCTTTTATATAAAACACCCCGTTTGCTACATCCAGGGTAAATATTAGTGAAAATCAGCAAAATATCTGCTGATGTTTTACTGAACAATAATTGTTTTGTACTGGAACGCAGAGAGTTGGTATTTTAAAGCTCCTCATAGATTTACAGGGTGTTTCACCTGATACCTTCCTCCATGCTAAGATGTACAGGACTTTGCAGAATAATTCACTCTAATGGGTTTTATTGAGTTTTCTTGCTGTTGTAAAAGACAGGAAAGTTACAGCTCAGCAGTGTTTTGTAGTATATTTACAGAATTTCAGATTCATTGGATAATATTCTGCAGATTCCCAATTAAATAAAATAAAAATTGTTAAGGGTTATTTTATGGTAAAACCAAGTAACCATCTCACCTTCTGCTGTTAAACACATACTATATATACCAAATATGACTTAGAATAAATTTTACTTTGTAACTTAATACCTTGAAATTGGGTCTCTGTCTCTTTAAAAGCTCCTGGTCTTTCTGTAACTCCGCCTTCATCACAACATGGCTCCTCTGTTAACCCTTTAACAACATTTTGACCAGCGTTGCATAAAAAGCTCAGCAGATGTGCGGTTCCACCAGGTGTTTGCTAATTGCTGCTGGCTAGTCTGAAGGAGCTGAGCCTCGAAGGCGGGGCTAGGTCCACCCAGCTGACTGGTTGCCATGGGAGAGTAAACTATTTCCAGATATGTTTTTCATGAGTTAATAACATTATAACATGATGTAAAGCTTAAAAGAGTAAATTTTACATAATAATACTTTTTTAATTATGCTTAAAAGTAAACCAAAACCTTTTCTAAAGTAAATAATTCCCACTTTGTGACTGATGTCTGAGGAAGGTCCTCTATAAATAAAATTTACTTATTAACTTCACAATAAAATATCATCATTTAAGATGTTTTTTTATAGAGCACGCATTCTGTCATGACTTACTGAGAAAAGTTCATCTGCTGAGACTCTGCTGCTGCATCACCAGGTATAACAGGAACTATAAAATAACTGCTCAAGTCAGCAGCTACCCAACCTTAAGATAAAAGTTAAACAACAGTTTTCTTTCTACCTTCACAGTAAAACTTCGTCCTCAGAGTGGGACGTCCTGTCAGAATAAAACGTCAAACCTTCCATCCCTGAATCAAAGCAACATCTAAAATCGCCCACAGCGTCCCAGAACTGAGCAGACGGCTAAAAAAAGCAGCTGGAGCTTTTTGTGTGCGGCGCCGCGCTCCTTGAGGCCGGGCGAAGCGTCTTGTTTCTGGGACAGATCGCCTTGTAGAGCGGGCCTGGGGGATCTCCGACCCAACGGGCTCAGGCTGCTGCAGACGGGCTCAGTCAAATTTAGAAGTCCCATCGATGAAAGAGCTTGGCGTTTCTTGTAAGATCTGAGTCTGATGACGCTACAAGGCGGCTCAGAACAGCTGCAGACGGCGGAAAATATGTTAGGTTTTTTCTACTAACCTGATGAATTTCAGTTACGTTTTTAATACATTTAAAGGGCCAGTGTTCGCTTAAATCAGCGTTTTGTAGCTTTACATCAAAATCATACCTGGAGCACCACTTTGATATTTTCATTCATGTTTTAGAAATCCTCTAATCTCCATGGCAACCATTCAGCTCGGTGGACGTAGCCCCGCCTCTGAGGCGCAGCTCTTCCTGGAGGCTCCTCACAGGGCACCGCCCACTCAGCTCCTTCAGACTAGCCAGCAGCAATCAGCAAACACCTCAAGGATCTGCTGAGCTCATCATACGAGCTACTTCACTGATAAAAACGTTTTTAAAGGGTTACTAGAGGAGCCATGGTGCGATGACTTCAGAGAGAGCGCGAGGATTTAAAGAGACAGAGGCCCAATTTCAAGACATATTTGACATTTATAGCATTTTTTAACAACTGAAGGTAATATAGTTACTTGATCATAAAGTTTAGTAGTATTGACTTACATTTACTTGAGTAACTGTTTTGGATAAAAAATATTTTTATTATGCTGTATTTTTTATTCTTACTTGAGTAAAATTTCTGGATTTTCTACCTGCTAAATGAAAAACAAACATATTTTAACCAAAAATTCACCAGACACAGACACATAAGTTTTATTTTGAAAGAAACTGATTTGGAAAAATTTAATTTGCCTGATTTTATTACTTTGGTGAATTATTGTCATTTTGGTCCTTAAAATACCAAAATTTTGACTTAATTTTATATTTTTAAATATTAAATGATTGGTAATTTGATCAGTTACTCAGTAATTGAATAAACTTTTTACCAAATACGTTTTTACTCTTACTTGAGTAATTTCTTGGCTACGTTTTACTAGCGTACAAGTTTTGGGTACTCTGCCCATCTCTGGTTAGCTTAGCTACAAAATGCCTCAATGTGCCTGGAAACAAACATAACCTGCCTCTTTAAGTTATAAAAACAAAAATATTCACTGTAAGTCAACCACGTCGGCCTCTCTGCCTCGCAGACAAACACTGCGGTAACGAGCTGCAGTTTCCATGGCAACTCTGAGGTAGTGCTGAGGAGGCTGTGATTGGCTGACAGGCTGGGTCAGGTCGTACCATGTCGGAGGGCTTGAAGGGGTTCCCCTGGCCGCTGATGCCGCCAGAGATACTGAAGCCGAGGCCGGGGTTCTTCTCTATCCTCACACACAGCTAGGCAGGAAGAGCAGAGAGAGACAGCTGAAAGTGAAACGCACGCACGGCGAAAACTGCAGAGAGCAAACAAACACGAGGAGCGGCGCTTCGGCGGCTATCTGGAACAACCAGGCCACCAATAACGCTGTCAGGGTTTTCTGTTTGGCATAATGGGAAGCTGTCTCTTGCAATGAAGGGGAGGAAACAAGAAAAACAAAAAAACCCAGAGGCAGGTCGCGGTGCAGACTGGTGCAAATGACTTCATGTCCCTTTCTGAGCTCTCCATCTGCGCAGCGTTTCTGACTGCGACTGACACCTCCGGCTCTGTTTCAGCACAGACTGTGGCTCCGTGGCGGCTAAGTTACATAATTATCTCCACATTTTATTAATATTAGCTGCTTGTTTATTGCAGCGACACCGTAAAAAGAAAGAAAAAACCTTACAAAGTATTTACAGTCTAGTTTCTAGTGAAAATATATTAGTACTCTTGAAATAAGACAAATATAACATGCAAGCAGTTTGTCAACAAGACATAGGAGCTTCTTTTTATTGAATAATTAATTAATATTGATGGAAAGGTGCAGACTATTTTACTTATAACAAGATATTTTTTCCATGTCATAATTGATATAATCTGCCAGGGAAACAGTATTTTTTCATCAATATTGATGGATTATTGACTGGAAACAAGCTCTTATTTCTGGCTGAAAAGTCACTTTAAGTTGGTTTTGTCTTTTTTCAAGTGATCCAGAAAAAAGACCAAAAACACTTCAGATAAGATTTAGAGTTTTTGCAGTGATGTTGGTCAAACTATTAAATTCTATTATTGGAATTATTGGTCTAATTTCTAGAGCAATATGTTAGTACACTTGATATAAGTAAAACTAACTTACATGTGAGCTTGTTTTAAGTAAATAATTCCTTAACATTAATAATAAAAAAGTGGCACTTCATTTATAACAAGATATTTTTCTCCTTTTATGAGTGAAAAAAATCCACCAGTGGAATTAAATTGTCACCACTAAGGAATTATTTACATAAAACAAGCTCCTATATCTTATTAAAAATTGACTTTAGGTTAGTTTTGTCTTAATTCAACCAAAATTACTTGGTAAGATTTAGAGTTTTTGCAGTGATGTTGGTCAAGCAATCAGCAAACATCTTAGTACACTTGAAATAAGATAAAACCTAAAAGTAACGTTTTAACAAGACATAGGGGCTAAGAATTAAGTAAAAAATTCCTTAATATTAATAAAAAAACACACTAATTTACTTAAAACAAGATATTTTTCTGCCAGTGGAAGTAGTTCATCTATTATATTAAATATTTCCATAAAAAAGCTCCTATATCTTCCTAAAAAGTTACTTTATAAGTTAGTTTTGCTTTAAATCAAGTATGCTAACATATCTGCACTATAAACGAGACCAAATATAGTTGGTAAGACTGACTTTATGTTTTTTACATCAAAATCTGCCTGTGGAAAATGAGCCATTGCTGTATTTGAGGAATGCTAACGTTTCCTGTGTCTCAGCAGCAGAACCAGCACAGCCTGCTAGCATCTCCATACCTGCTCTTGGAAACCGTCGGTGCTTTTCTGGCCTTTAGTCTGCAGCAGGCAGCGGGCGCTCTGAGGCCGCGGGTTGGTGTGGGTTGCCATGACGGCCTGGTTGCTGTGGGTCATGCCTTGATTCATGTGGTACTGCGGGTTGGTAGCCGGCTGATGGGAGGTGTGGGGGTTGTACTGAGACTGGTTCCCAGATGATGACAGCGCCATGGGCAGGCCGCCGCTGGGGTACGCCTGGCCAGGGGAGGGAAGGCCTGACCAAAACACAAAGCGAACTAAAGTTTGGTTTCTCATTTAAATGTCTGGGTTTCCCCAGAAAACTTGACAGGAAATTTGAACATTTGACCAGGTGGTTACTGGAAAGCACTGCTGACAATACTCAAACTATCATCTTTTAAGACTATTTTTAAAAAGATTTTTAAGATTATAGAGTCAAAATAAGAAGTTAAGGGGCTTCTTATTGACTTAAATATGAAGAATGTTGGTCTTTAACACGACTTCTTCATGTGTTCCTGATTACAAAACCATTCAATTTCCTTCCACATCACAAATATGAAGTATTTTGTATTCACTAAATTGCAAATACTTCATCAATATGACAAAATGTTAGAAAAGTCAAAGGATATTGATACGTTTCACTGCAAAAACACAAAATCTCACCAAGTAACTTTAATGTAGTTTCTAGTGCAAACATCTTAGCTCACTTGGAAGAAGAGAAAACCTTGTTTGAACTTGTTTTAACTAAATAATTCCTTAATATTGATGAAATAGTACTCGTCCTACTAGCAGATTGTTTCACTTATGACAAGGGTAAAATGTTACAGCTGAATTAATCTGCCAATGGAACTAGTACTTTTACACCAGTGTTAAAGAATCATTCACTGAAAAGTTAGTTCTCTTATTTAAAGTCAGATATTAGAAACTAGGTTAAAATACTTCATCAGGTTTTGTGTTTTTGCAGAGCTGATTTTAGGCACATGGGGAAAATGTCTTAAAATAAGAGAAAACTTTTCAGCAATAAAAATGAGCTTATTTCAAATAAATAATTTCTTAATATTGATGAAAAAGTCCTTCTTCCATTGGCAGGTTAATTCACTTATTACAAGACATTTTCCCCTTGTTATAAGAAAAATAATCCACTAGTTTTTCATCAATATTAAGGAATTATTTAGTGAAAATAAGATCAAATAGCTACTTTTACTCACTGCCCTTGTTTTATTTCAAGTACAGTAAGATAAAAATGGTAAGATTTCATGTGCTGCAAGGCATTAAATGTAAAATAAAGCTCATTAAAGCGTGGCATGGAGGTCTGCTGTTTACCCTGTGACACGTTGCCTTGGTACTGGCCCGGACCGCCTGCTGGTACCACTGACAGCGACATTCCTTGCTGGTATTGGCCCCCCTTGTTCATCATCCCGTCGTAAACCTGCTGCCCGACAACGCGGTGAGGCGCGGCGGCCGAGGACGAGGAGGTGGAGGTGACGATCATGGTGTTGTGTGACTGATGGGAGGGGTTGTGTGGATGTCCGCCCTGTGGGAACAAGAACCACAAAATGACAATTAGTCACAATCACAGCGGCGCTGCCACTCGCCACTTCCCTACAACCAGGTTTTACTTTTCTCATGTCTGAGTTCACTGGGTTTACATTCACTGATTTATCGACCTTTTTCATGAGGTTCTCAGGTGGAACGTCTCTTCGACCGAGTGAGTAGGGAGCCCACTGGTTGCTCCCTGTCACCCCCTCCTGGTCATTATCCAGCATTGCAGCCTGCTGAGAAGGCGTCTGGGAAAAAGAGACGGACAAAAAAATACTGAAAAGGTTCACAGCAGTAATTCTCCTGAGCTTCAGCTGGTGAGATTACACCTTAAAAATAAGATTTTAACCAAAGTGCTTTGATGCAACTTTTAAGAATTTGAGATTCTTCCATTTAAACTTAGATGCTACTTCCACAGAAGTCACAATTTATTGGTATGTTTTTCTGTAGAGCAAAACTGTAACAAGTTTAAAACTGTTTAAACCTGGAGCTAACTTGAGTCCTAATCTGGTCACAAATAGGCAGATTTACTTTAATCTTTTCAGATCGAAAGTCAGAATTCGGAGAACAAAGTCAGAATTTTGAGAAAAAAAACTGAATTCTGAGAAAAAAGTTAGATTCATGATTAAGTCAAAATTCTTAGAAAAAAGTCAGATTCTGATTTAAATGTCAGAATTCAGAGTCTAAGGTCAAATCTGACACAAAAATTTAAAGTTTTAGGAAAAACGTCACAATCCTTAAAGTCAGAATTTTGAACTTAAAGTCAAAATTCTCAATTTAAAATCAGAATTTTGAGAAAACAGTCTTGATTCCCCCCCCCCAGCAGTCAAAATCCTCTTCTGCAAATGTAGTTCACTTTAATTAGTCACAAATATCTCATATAGTAGATTCATATAAGCCAGGCAGGATTCCTGTGACTCTTCTAGTGGTTTGGATAAAACATGAATGTTTAAACAGTGATATAAACACTCACAAAACAAACAAAGAACGTTTAATGTGGTTAAAACGACCACCGCCTGCAGCTCCCCAAAGCTTTTTGCGATCACATGTATGCAGTGACTGTAATCAGGTTCTCTCATCAGGATACTCACGGTGATGGCAGACGGAGGCGGAGGTAGTGGCAGCCAGCGGCCAGCAGGGGGCTCATGCCTAGTGTTATTGTAAAGGTTAAAGTTCAAAGTGGTGCTGCGCCCCTGGCCGTGACCCCCGCCCTGATAGAGCATGCCCAGGGTGAGCGTGTTGTGCTTTAGGACACCACTCTGATTGGAGGAGACAACATCACATGACATGGGTGAATGACGGGGGGGAGGGGCAAAGGGGCGGAGCCAACACAGCGAGCCAGCACAGCTCCACAACAAAACAAACAACAACACTGATATAAAATCAACAACAACAACAACAGTGCAGAGTTGCTGAAAGCACAGAAAAATGTTAGCTAGTGATTGGTCAATACGCACAAAACAGGAAGTGGATCAGTTCATTCCAGCAACTGGATCCTTAACACTTAACCACGAGTTTTAAAATGTTCCTGGAAAAAATAATCACAACCAGATGTAGCTTTCTGCATGACTAAATAAGAGATGTGTCTATTTTTATCAACCTTTTTGTTTTGCCCAATTCTCCTGCTTCTGTCTGAAAGGAGTATTAACATTTTAATTCATTCAGAAAAAATAAAATGAAAAAATCAGAGCAGAATGGTGGTAAGGAAAACTTAAAAAGCTGCTCAGCTGTAATAAGAGGGATTGGACTGGTGTAATACCAATGAATAAGTTTCCAAAGATTATTGAGAATAATATAAATTATCTTTGAAATGCCATTTTTCTGGTAAAGTGTAAACATACCTGCAATATTTTGACTTTACATGGTTTTGTTTTCTTTTCAGAGACGCCTCCCCAAATTAATCAGGGTGGTATGAATACTTTTGGCCTTAACTGTACCACACACAAATTATTTGAAAGTAAATATTTTGTTTGTACAGGGAGTTATTGTTTTCAACTTTACTAACATCTGTGTACAGATGTGAAGACAATGCAAAACTTCAAAATATCATCTTTGAGAATTTCTGTGATTTAGAGGATTTCTCAACTTTTTTCAGACAAGTGAAAACAATTAAAAGGAATTTCAGCATTATATTGAGATTTTCTGTCAATTTTAAATAAAAACTCTAAAATCATCGGGATTTTAGAAAAGATATGACACTGTATTCGGGCCAGTGTACACAGAAAAATGAGTCAATTTCCATAACAAAACTCAGAAGTTTCAAGACTAATTTAAGAAATTTTCTACAAAAAATCCTGAAGTTTCAGAGCTGGAAAAGTTGAACATAAAGCTCAGAAATTTTGAGATT